CGTGTGTGTGTGTGTGCGTGTGTGGTTAAACTCTGTGTCTAGCTATGGTAATTTAAAGTGTTTAAGTAGGATTTCAAAGGAGTTGCGCGGATATCGCTTAATAGTATCACTGAAAGTTTTGCATTTGAAATGTCCGGTTGCGCAGAGGTCGAAATGTGCAGAGTCAGCAAGCAGCTCAAAGTGGTGATGCTTTTAGATAGCGCCGAAAGGATGTCCCGGTGTGCAGACTGTCTTGTGTGGTACATCATCGAACGAGAATGCAATTAAAGCTGCATTCATGTGGTACCAGGCACAAAAACGTGGCGGTGCAAGGCCGCGTGCGGAGGATCTGGAATCATGTATGAGGCACGAGCCTCCCGGCACACCCAACTTATCCGTTCTCTCATTTCATGGCGCATTTCACGGTCGATCATTGAGTAAGTTCTATTTAACGCGTTTTTCAGAAGTATTGTTTTACTGAGATTTTGTGCGTAAGAGTAAGAACTGGAACAAGAGAGACGTTTGACAAGCGATTTGGAGTGTTCGGGGACACAGCACAGCAAAATTGCCCAGCTGGATGTTATCGTTTTTGTTGGGTCGGCTGATCGGCTGCTTTTACTGAATAGCCAGGCGAACATGAATGCAAACTATGGATGAGCAGTGTGGCTAGAGTGTGCACTTCATGGATTCCCTGCTGGATGGGTAGCTGCTCATGGCTGTTGAATTGCAGGTTGGCAGGTGTCTTTCGATGGCCATCAGCAATCAGATTGTCGAAGCCTGTCATTAGGCCAGTTCTGTTGGAAAGCCTAGTCTGGATCTTTTAGGTTAGGACATAGTTAATTGTCATGCTTATGATATATTGAGGCGCATGAGAAACGTCAGTCAGCTCCTGTCAGTTGCATTCCCACTCTTTGAGAAAATTAGTAAGAACAGTTTGACTTCAGCAACTTTCTGGCCTAGTGTTTTTGGAAGTTGTGTTTCACATGAGTTGGAAGTTGCGCGTTTCATTTTTTCCCGAGCTAGTTTGTTGAGGTTTAGCTTTGTGTGCAGTGATGATTGATGCAGATGTCTTAAAAGAACAGGCTTAATCACATCAACAGAAGATGCAAATCCGCAGTGCATTACTTGACCACTGTGGCTACGTGGGTATAGATATAAGAACGGTTGCGGAGGGAGATGAGTAAAAATGAATTTGTTAGTACAAAATGTAGTTCATAATGATTACAGCGGCATTATCGAT